TCGACATGCCTATGTCACTTCTGGGCGACGTAGGCACAGCGTGCAATGTCACTTCCAATGATGTCAGCATGTGGGGGGGGTGATGCTTCCAGCTCCGGGAGCATCCCCCTTCCCCCTGCCGACGTTTCAAAGGGGACCTGGCAACCCTATCTGGAGATGAGTTGTAACTCAGGAAGAACTCCAGCCTGGAAGTTGGCAACCCTAGGCTGTACACTCAGGAAGACTTTTCTTAGGATCGCACCGGTACCATTTTACATCCCTAAAACCTTTTCCATTTTCTCTATCAGCTCTTCAGGTCACAGTAACAACCCTCCTTGTCTTCCCCTGCTGATGTTTCTCTACTTCCTTGTGTGACTGCTAACTCATTCCCCCTTCTCTCCCCCCCCCTTAAGAAAACATATTTTGATTTCAACACAGGGGAGCCAAAAAGATCGTGGGCTACTGGCGGAGTTGTCAAAACTCCTTCCTTCGGAGAGTAGCTGATCTACATGAGGCTTAAAGGTCTGAAAGGGAGCCTGGGAGGGGGGAAACTCTTGGGACTTGAGCAGGGCTTTTTTTCGGGGGAAAGAGGTGCTGGTACTCTCAAGAGGGAAATGCCGGATCTCCTTATATACGCAGTACTGAGTCTGCTAGAAACAAGGCTGCATCAGGACAAATCGCTGCCAAGTTATGACAGGCCTTTATCCTTGGTCTTTCGTGCTTCTGCCTCCTCACAGCGCTTGGGAGATGATGCTTCAAATACCCTAGGAAAATGTGACGTTCCATCGGAGGCAATGCTTTCTGCTGGTCTTGGGCAACCAGATTAGACAGATGCTTGAATGGGACAAAGTTAGCTACAGACAGTGACGACTTTGGCTGCTGCTTCTAACAGCTGTCACTTAGGCCGGTCCTTCTGGACGACGAAATAAGTTTTAACTGAGAAGAGGAGGGCAGAAAATATATCGTTCTGTAGCCCTTTTAGTCCCATCTACCTCCGTCACTGAGAAAAATCGGCATTGAGGGGATTACAGAAAGAGAAGAAACATCACGGTCGTGGCACGAGAGATGGTTGGCATCTCCAGGTTTCTTGACTGGACCTGGGGCCACCCAGATCAGAAGAGACAGTCTGCTTGAGACGCATTATTTTAAGACCTAAAGAAAGCGAAGCCCTGTATGGGGATCATGGGAGTAGCAGAGTGGAGAGAAACTGTACTGCCAAAGGCCGGGGAAACCACCAAGAGAATTAAGAGAATGCACCTCTGAATTTTCTCCCACCCGTAGAAGCCATGAGGTCAATAAAATTATTATTTATTTAAATCATTACCAGATCCCCAACATAAAAGGCCAGGGATTCAATAATAAACAGCAATGGCTAACAGAGAGATGCAGTCTATTTATCTCCCTTGTTAAAAAACCCTAGAAAAATGCTCTTCCTTCTTGGGGTCATGATGTATCCAGAGCTGTGGGTTTTTTTATATGGGGCCCACTTCTAAACTTAATCTACCCTTCGGGAGCCATGGCTGTAGTACTGAAGTCTAGGATTGAGCTAGAACAAAGCTGATGCCGGCATGGCTCCAGGAGGCAATTGGCTTCGGCAATCCCTGTCAACTCCTGCCCCATGCCAGCCAAGAGCAAGTAGAGCCCTCTGTAGGATGGCGTTCCTGTAGGCCGAAGCTGGGCTTGGACCTGGCTACTGGCAGTACGTGTCTTGGACTGGACATGGGTTTCAGCAATCAGCAGGCAAAGGCGCAAAGTGACAACCTCTCCCTTGGAAAAGCTCTCTGACTTGTCCACGCCCTTGGAACAGACGTGTGGGGGTACAGTCCTGCAAACCGAAATGATTCAAAGGGTGCAAGACATCAAGCAGTATGAGAACAGAATTGGGCCCCGTTCCCATGATCCAAAATCGATCCCAACCCCACAACACGTTTGAAGCAAGCGGCGCTCACACCGGGCCATCGTTCTCTCATCATCCCGATAGTGCTTAGTGCATGATGGGAACTCTGGGGTTCATCACTGTCTGTTCAAAACTGACGGCACCATCTGGTGGCCAGCTTAACGTTCATGCAAAGGCATGAGTCCAAAGACATTATAACTTCCCCACAAACACCCATTGATGTGCCGCGGCTTCGGCTGTGAGATGGAGAGCTTGTGCGGTCCCTTAATCGGGCAACCGATCCTAATGCCTTTGGATTTTACTGCCCACCCAGGGTCAGTTTTTGTGTTGAATTGTGAGAACCATTCCAAGGGGCACCATTGAAACTGTTCTTGAACGGCCTCTAATCACTTCGTAATTTTTTTCCTGCTTTCACTATCTGCTTTCTACTTCTGGTTTTTGTTCGAAACGCACACTCGCTGAAAACAACAGCAATCTATAAACACAAGCAAATCAGGTTTCTTCCTTTAATGGTCGACTCACTTGACCTAAGGTCTCGAGTCAGGCCACACGAAATTATTTGTATTTATTTTTATTATGTTGTTTATTTTCATTATTATTATACATCTATATTTCTATATATTTTAAATTCTGGACTTCTAAATTTGGGATGAACCATTTAAAAAAAATCCTAACCCTTGTCATAAAATAATCATCTTGTCATTCCACATAATTCACGTGGAGAATTTCGCCATAGCTAATGTAATCCTCGAATCCTCATCCTTTAAGAAAAATGGTACTAAATCAGATTTCTTTTTTATTATTTTTATTTCTAAAAATTAGAAAAATATCTATTTCCTTAAATTGATACAAATAATTCAATCAAACAGCACCCCTCTCTAATTTAAAAATGGAACAGAGGTAGGGTTAAAAATTAGAAAGCCTTACAAGCAAACAACGAAAAACTAACCAAGGCAACGAAACAGTCAATGCAGGCAAAGAAGTTCTAAGGAAACTGGACTAAATCAGATTTCTGTTTGGGGTATGGATGGAGTAATCCAATTTATGACTACCTCTAAAATCTGGCTAACATCAGTAAAACTTCATTGGCATATCCAGGAGCGAGCGCGTGCATATATAGCTTGTCCCGCCCCCCAGGCCAGAAAAACAACTGAACTGACTGTGGAGTCATTCTGCCTTCCTAAATAAACTTGTCCGAGCACAGAAATGGTACTTATCAGTGTGGTAAAAATGGTCAGGACCAAGGAGACACTAGTTCAGATTCCCAGTCAGCAAGAAGCTTCCTGGGTCATTCTGGGCCGGTCACTCTCTGTCAGCCGAACCTGCCTCACAGGGTTGTTGTGAGGGTAGAATGGAGTGGGGCAGCCGTGTTGGTCTGAAGCAGTAGAACAAATCCCGTAGCACCTTTAAGACCAACAAAGGTTTATTCAAGGTATGAGCTTTCACGTGCAAGGCACACTTTTTCAATTACATTGGAATAGAAGGTAAGAGTTCAAACTTACAGACAGGGGCTGAACAGCAACTTAACATGTCACATGATGAAGATGTTTGAAGATATGCAAAGACAAAACTAAATAACAAGCTAACGTTGTAAGGTCAACCATTGCTCTGATTTAATTAAGGGGGGATAGAACCAGTGAGCTGAGTTAGTGTGAGCTAGCTCACCGTTTTTCAGCCTCTGGCTCACACATTTTTTTGTCTTAGCTCAGGAAGGAGGGCTCCAGTGTAAAGTAATTTATGCTGTAGCCAAATTGCTCGCTCATAACTTTAATGCCCGTAGCTCACAAAGTGGAATTTTTGCTCACAAGACCCCACAGATTAGAGGGAACATTGGATAGAACAGTAAAACAACGTGTCAAAATAGGAGATAAATGTGCAAAGGTGTCTTCTCTAATTGTGGGGAGTAAACTGAGTGGGACAGAACCATACATGTCACCCTGAACTCATCGAAAGGAAAAGCTGCATGAAGACGTGACTGATGGGCAGAAGCCCTATACCAGTAAGCTATTTATAAATCGTAACTGTTTGTCATGAACCCTCAGAATGGGACCTGGTCAGAAATCTGAAATACATCCAAGTGTAAACCTCGCCCCAGACCAACCTGATCTCATCAGATCTCAGAAGCTAAGCAGGAATTAAAGAAGTATAGAAGGCTAGCCTGATCTCATCAGCTCTAACAAAGGTCAACCCTGGTTACTACTTGGATGGGAGACCGCCAAAGAAGTCCAGAGTCACAATGGGGAAGCACCTCCGAACGCCTCTTGCCTTGAAAATCCTGTCTCAGGGGTCCCCGACCTTTCTTGAGCCTGTGGGCACCTTTGGGTTTCTGACACTGAGTGCTGGGCACAGCCACAAAATGGCTGCTGCCGGAGGGGAAGCCAGCCAGCGGCTGCCACAGTGCCAGCTGCTGCTATTCACGCAGTGAAAATCCTTGCACAGCTACCAAGCCACCATATTTGGAAATCCGCACAGCTAATCAAACGCCCAGCGCCCCCATCAGAAGAAGCATTGCTGGGCAAAAGCTCCACCTGGCCCCACCCGCATTCTAAAAACTCCTGGTGGGCTCCAGGAAAGGTATCACTGGGCATCATGGCCCCCCACGGGTACGAGGTCTCCGTGAATCAGCTGCAACTTGAATGCACTTCACACCCACCCACCCCAAACTTCCTAATGTGAAGAGAAGGGATCAGGGAAATGTATTTTTAAAATGTCCTTCTCCCTTCAAACGGTTAAGGCCGTCAATGCTCAGTCCCTCTGTTTGAGCGACAGAACGACGTGAGTTCTTTGCCTGCGCCGCTGTTGCAGGATCGTGCTGCCGTGTTCAAAAAAGAGGCCTTTCCCGAAGCTAACAGAGTCTGGGGCTGTCCCCTCCCCCCCCTCCTCTGCTTCCCCATCTGAAAAAAACATCAGTTTGTCTCAAGACAGGGCTGGATGCGGCTGCTGGGCCCGCCACTGCTGGAGGAGGCCGGTTGTGTTGATATTTGATATAACAGCTCGGGCCCAAGTGGGAAGAGGCCGAAGTGATAGATGATTTGCAAGTCACTCTTTGACTCCTGCATGTAATGGAATCTCTCCGGATTTGCTCAGAAATCACAGGCCAGACAGGGACGTCCTTCCAAAGCCCACTTCTTCCTGCTCCTACAGATGTAATAAAATAATATTGCGCGGAAATGGAGGGGGGGATTATTTAAAATGCATGTAATCTTTCGAAATGAAGACGTCAGTCGACACTCCGCTCTTTCTCCCCCCCCCTACAACTTTCGCTGCCTCGAGCACGTTCTTCAGACTCGCCCACAGAAAGCCTGAGATTTACACCCTCGTTGCAGTGCAGAGACGGCAGTGGGAAGTAGTCAAGGACAGTACTGGTAGTAGAGCTGGTAGGCTAGAACGCGCCACTTTGGGCGGCGCTTTTTGAAAGGCTACCCCCATGTTAAAAATTTAGGCCATGATTGCAAGAACACAGGAAGCTCCCTTATGCCGAACGAGAACAGCAAGCGAAACAAAGACCTGTGGTTGTGTTTAACGAGAAGTATTATGCATAATATTGCATAAATCAGTCAATCCTAAAAGAAATCAACCCTGACTGTTCCCTGGAAGGTCAGATAATGAAACTGAAGCTCAAAGACTTTGGCCACCCAATGAGAAGGGAGCACTCACTGGAGAAGACCCTGATGCTGGGAAAGACTGAAGGTCAAAGAAGACGGGGACGGCAAAGGATGAGATGGTTGGACAGTGTCACAGATGCAACGAACATGAAATTGAGCAAACTTCAGAGGACGGCGGAAAACAGGAGGGCCTAGCGAGATCTTGCCCATGGGGTCGCGAAGAGTCGGACTCGACTGAAGAAGAAGAAGAAGAAGAGATTGGATTTATACCCCGCCCTTCACTTGGAGTCTCAGAGCAGCTTGCAAACTCCTTTCCCTTCCCCTCCCCACAGCAGACACCCTGTGAGGTGGGTGGGGCTGAGAGAACTCTGACACAAACTGCTCTTTCAGGAACCGCTGTGCCAGAGCTTGTGACTGACCCAAGGTCATCCAGCCAGGTGCAAGTGGAGGAGTGGGGAATCAAACCCGGTTCTCCCAGATTAGAGTCCGTGCACTTAACCACTACACCAAACTGTGCGACTGAACAACAAAAATATTGCATAATGGGGCCGCAGTGGCACAGAGGTTAAGATGCTAAGCTGCAGACCAGAAGGTCTGTAGTTCGGCAGTTCAAGACCCTAGTGCCGCGTGACGGAGTGAGCACCCGTCTCTGGTAGGCCTGTGGAAACGGGCCATTTCAAAAGGACCAAGGAAAGATGAGAGGGGCCAAGAAGCTGACCAAGAAAAGATGACCCCTTCATGTGAGGAGTCAGTGAGAAACCAAGAAACATCTCAGGTGCTGGGTCACCTGAGGCAACACATTGTACTTGTACCAGAATAAAACTTGGTCTTAAAGGTGCCACTGGACTGTCTTGGACCGGGGGGCCTGGGGGGGGAGCTCTGCAGCTTATGTGGCTGCTTATTGCTCTGACTGAGGGCTGCTGGGAGCAGGGGGTGGGGCTTGTTGCATGTGCCCGCCCCCTGGGCTCTTTACTGCCGGAGCTCCGCTCCTGTGCGCTCCTGCAGGAAATGACCCCTGGTTCCATGTGCAGTGAGTGATTGGGGAGAGTTCAAAAGTGATTCCCCCCAAGCCTACTTCAGAAGTAGCATCGTCTATCCTAACTCCCTCTCGTTCTGCTTCCTGCCACCTTCTTCTCCATGCGAGAGAAAATTAACAGCCACAGCGACTCAATGAGCCAGACACAAATTCTTCCAGGGGCAAATTCTACCTCCCCTTCTCCATCTTTCCTTAAGGTTCAGAGTACCTTGGAGGAATCGCCAAGATGGAGGGATCTGACTGGATTTGTGGACTATGACAGCCAGTGTGGTTATAGGGGTTAGGGC